ATGCTCTTTTGAATGATGTATGATTCACTAGTGTTATCTCGGAAAATCCCTAATGGGCCGATTTGACCTTTTATGCGCCCCCGTCCTTTATCGAATATGGCAAGACAAAGCTATTACAAAAAGAATGATGATCTTTTATTGCAGATGCTTCAACTAAGACTGCAGCAGCGGCCACCAGCACCATAAACACTGAAGCCAGCACCATTACTTCACAGGTCAGACAGCAATCGTTCGAGGACATAAATATTCATCAACTATCTCATACTTCTAGATAACGACCATGGCAATCGACCCTCGAGTATATAGAGGTAAGATATTGTTGATTATTGCCTTCAAAGTTAGCATGATTATTGATAATTTGAACTATTTGATTAAAATCACTGTTATTTCTCAGACCCATTGAGCACATTGAAGAAATTCTCAGATTATATGGTCACTTTTCGAACAATGTTTCTCGCTTATCGATAGTTCTCGCATGCGTAGGATGTGGGTGTGGGTGTAGGTCTGGATGGGTGTGAGTGCGTGTGAGTGTAGATGTAGTATTCATTTAATACCATGCCCACACTCACACCCAATTTTCTTAGCGTTTCTGCCGTTGCGAAGTTTGACAAAGCTCATTATTTTATTCTTTAAAGTCTTGAAAGATTTAAACGTGCTAACACTTTTTCTTATAATCTCGCATAGATTCTCCATTCACGATTACAACTCAAATTCTCAGATATCTGCGTTTTTCTATCGAGGTCCTGGAGAGGATTAGCATTGATCTTTCTCCAGGTGTTTTTTTCGTCCCTCGCGAAAACGCTACTTCTTGGGATTTGAGAGATCTTAGTAAGAATTTAAACAATTCCCTGTCAACACACATTCTCATAGATTCTATTTAGTATTCTTAAAGAATGAACAAGATTCAGATTTGGTGAAGTGACATTGCTATAATAATCATTATGACGTTCTTTTGTTATGAAAAATTAGAAAACGGTTTCTCAATCTATATTTGCTTGTAGAACCTTTTCTTGTTTTGAGTTTGTGAGAGAAGGACATTCTCGAAAATTTCGCCGAATTCTCTCAAAGAAGAATGTTTCATTTGTAACACTTTTTTCCACGATACAGGAGGGTATCTCTTCGATGACGACAATGATGAAGACAATTTCTTTTCTTTTTCTCGTTCTTTGTAGTGATTCCCAATATTCCAGCAAATGCCCAATGGGCACAGAATGCGGAGACTGTTGCTGAAGGCAATGGAAAAGGCGATGCTCTCAATCAACTTAACGACCCTTGCGGCCTCTCCGTTGATGATGATCAAACGATTGTCATCGCTGATTGCTCCAATCATCGTATCGTCCAGTGGAAGGCGACTGATACGAAAGGACACGTTGTAGCTGGTGGTCATGGCAAAGGAAATGGATTGAACCAATTGAATTGTCCAACCGATGTGTTGATCGACAAAGAGACAGATAGTCTCATTATTTGTGATCAAGAGAATCGACGAGTTGTACGATGGTCTCGTCATAGTGACACAACTCAAGGAGAGATCCTCCTCAACAATATCCGTTCTGGGGGATTGGCCATGGACGATCAGAGATATATCTACATCTCTGACATCGACAAAGATGAAGTACGACGATATCAAATAGGAAACAAGAATGGAATTCTCGTAGCTGGTGGGCATGGCGAAGGTCATGGCCTTAATCAACTCAGCTATCCGACTTATCTCTTTGTCGATCGACTCCAGGCTGTCTACGTGTCAGACTTTAAAAATCATCGTGTGATGAAATGGGATAAAGGTGCAACAGAAGGGATTGTTGTCGCTGGGGGTAGAGGCCCAGGGAGTGCCCCGATGCAATTATCGTATCCTCAGGGGCTCTTTGTCGATACGTTGGGTGCTGTCTATGTGGCAGACTCTTGTAATGATCGAGTGATGCGTTGGCCTCCAGGAGCATCACAAGGCACCGTTATTGCAGGTGGAAATGGCTCCGGAAAACAAGCAAATCAGTTGAGCTGGCCCAGGGGTTTGTTCTTCGATCGTGATGGCAATCTCTATGTCGTTGATTTGCGAAATTATCGTGTTCAACGATTCTCTATCGAATAGACTCCAACCAATAGATTATTTCTTTTGCCTTTTTTTCAAATAAATCACGTTGAATTGATGAAAAGAATGGCTATTCTATTCCTACGCGATCAGGAACTACCTTAGTGGCACCGTGGTTAACCGAAGCTCATGCACGCACGGGGCTGACTCAAATCATTCACACGAAATGTGTCCAAGAGTCTGCTGAAAGTTCAGTCGTGTGGCTGAATGTAGGTGTGAGGGTGTGGGTAGGTGTGCGGGTGGATCCTTTCTTCACATCCCACACCGACATCTACATACACAAAATTCAGACAAATTCACTCATTACTGATAGAAATTGTAATTCAATTTCCAGAGCTGTTATTTTCTTTGT